GAAGAGCAACGAAACTTACCCTCGTCCATCTGCGTGCATGTTGAAGAGCAACGAAACTTACCCTCGTCCATCTGCGTGCATGTTGAAGAGCAACGAAGGAATAATCTTGTCCATGTGAGTCTGATCCCAGATGTTCACTTGAAGATCGTCGTTGACAGTCTTGCGCACGACGCCCTGCAGACCCTTGATTCCAGCCAGCCTCACCCTGAGGAAAACACGACACTGGTGAAACACACACGCACTAGGTGTAGGAAACACTTACGTTACACACTGCTTGCAATCACCCAGCTTTTAGAATTACCAGGGTGAGTCAAGGACGCAGAAATTTTTCTCACTATTTTTCACGCACGAGAGAAATCCATAAAACGTGACGTACAAGGCTTCACGGCCACTTGAACTACATTAATTTTTTTCGTCACTTATCTTCACCTGGTTCTGACATCCACCTGTTCCTCATTGCTGTGGCACATTGAGCTGAATTTTGACACGAAGAAATCGTAACCACGATGATATGACGGGGTATCCTCTTCGATATTTGCAAACTTGACAAACTGCTCACAGAAACACACATTTATATTATTAGTAATTCAATTATTCATTTATTGATTGATTTATGAATTTATATAAAGAACATGCAGTTTAGGCACAATACTTGCATGATAATTAGTGAAAGATTGTACCAAGACCTATTATCTATGGCAGATATGATATACAGTCCTGATGGTGTCACAACATCGGAATAAACCTAGCACAGTGGTCCCCACCTTATAAGGACAGGTCAGGAACCATGAAAATCTCCTGATTAAGTCGTGGTCCCGATTAAGCAGTTAACACGTAACAAAGTGTGTAAGGTTTTTTTTTAAAGCCCCGTTTATCCGAGGCCCGATAAAGCTAAGACTACTGTATCCTCTGCTACGTACCGACTGCGTTGCGAGGATCTGTAAATCTGGCTCTGTGCATTCGAGCAACTTCTGCACCATCTTGAGAAAGCTTTCGACGAAAAGGTTGAGCGTCTGCGCGTGACAAGTGAGGAGTATTTGGTCCAATGCCTCCATCGATATAGTGACGAACCTGCGAAAATTAACGCAGTGCGTTTTATCTAGACGTGCCGAACACGGTTTTGACTCGCCTCGACAACCAGGTGGTTCTGATATGATAGCCATTTTTAGTCTGTTAGAATACGACAATTACATATATAGAAAATAAAAAATACTGAAGCAGAATGCAGCCATTATGGCCACGACAAACTGTGAATCCCGGATTTCTTGGATGTGTGACAACCTGTGCATACCAGGCTTTATATGATCTACTATGCATGTACCCTTTCTGACGTCTATAGATGTTCTTGTTTAGTTTCTGAGCCAGGTATTCCCCTATCCTGTCCAACTTTTCGGGTGACGACATAGCATAGAAGGTCAGCTTTTCCATATTGTTCCTTACTAAGCCATCCTGGGGAACATTGTCAGAAACAAAACTAGTGAGAATATTAGTCGAACATGTCTTAACATTAACTTCTTCTCTTAGGCTATATTGACAGAAGTATCATAAGATCTTTAAATTTCCTCATAACTCTGCGAAACTATATGTGTGTATATATATAGAACAGTTTAAATCAATGATTTGTAACTTTTTTTGGGTCATGGACCCCTTTGAGCATCTGGTGAAAGCTACGGACCCTTCCCCAGAAACATGCACGCAAGAACATAAACACAAAATTTTGCATACAATGTGGTTCAGGGACCCCCCGAAGCCCATCCACCGACCCCAACGGGGTCCTTGGACCACAGGTTAAGAACCCCTAGTTATGTTTGTGATTATACTATCATAGGGCTATAGTAGAGGAACTTTGAAGTATATAGATGAATAACTCATTTCACAATTTCATATACTGCATGCTTACCTGGGGATTGACTGGGAAGATGTTATCCACAAGAATTTTATATCTAGGCCGACACGCATTAAAGCAGCAGGCACAGCACATGTCTATAAGAAAACATATCAACATATAGATACATATGAGAGCAACGGTGGATCCAGTGGCTGCCAGGTATAACCACACCATAGCAATAATATAGATACCAAAAAAGGTACCAAACAAAACACACTCCCCCTGCTCACTTACACAATCACAGTGTCTGGCTGTTCACACATATTTTGTTGCAGTGATTTATTATTTATTCATTTATTTATTAATTTAAAGACGGTAGGCCTACATTGGTAAAAGATATATCATTGTCAACAATAGCTCTAGTACTATAGCTATGTCAACAAAAGCTTGCAAGCTCGACCCTCACCGTCCGTGTTAGGGATTACAAAGGTGATCATGCACTAATGAAGATCGAGCATTTGTGGAAGGTGACGTTTGAAGCCATCAATTATGTAATCGATTATCAAAACAAATAATTGATCATCTAAAAAAACAAGTTTGTTATAAACTAGGCCTAATACTTAATAGTTTCATGTTTACCTAGCTAAGAATACCTTTCAATAAAAAGGGAATCAAACCATGGCTATTCAAAGCAACGTCTCATAATTTTTATGTACCTCAGCTTGTATACTACAGTACAGTCTACAGAATGTTGAAACTGAACTTAATTTTAAAGCCAATGTCAATGACTGAGTCAGTGAGTGAGGGCAAAAGTAGTATTCTGTACTACTACTAGTGCAGCTGAGAGGGTCTATGTCCCCCAGGGTACTGCCGGAACGTACCCTGGGTACGGTCCGGTATACCGGAAAGGTAAACCTTCTCCCTTCTCCCCTTCCTCCTTCTCCACCAGTTTCTCCCCTCCTCCTTCTCCACCAGCTTCTCCTTTCTCCCCTTCCTCCTTCTCCACCAGCCAGCACTTTCCAGTTAATTTACGACGCTAAAGCCTAAACCTGATGTTTACCCTCCTTCCCTATTATCTACTCCTGCATATATCATTATAATTTATATGTACCTCGGGTACATATATGTATTACCTGATACGACAACGACCCCTTCAGCACTACTACACTAGTACTAGTAATAGTATATACGTACTACTACTACTAGTACTAGTACTAGTGCTGAAGGGGTCGATGTCGTATCACTATCAGGTACTACAGATATGTACCCGAGGTACATATATGTATACACAAAGTGTACCAGACTTGTACTACAGAAGTGTACCCTAATCCTAACCCTAACCCTAGCCCTAACCCTAACCCTAAACATATACCTCATATAAAAATATAAACATAATACTAAACAACCTAAGATTAAACATTACTTAGAATCAGCCTGGAAGCTTCGAACCAAAATCTCCCGGTAAAGTGAAATTACCGGTGAGAAACTCAAAAATAAAAGCCTGTGGCTACGCGACCGGTTCCGGACGAGGAGCTGCTAGGCTACGCGACCGGTTCCGGACGAGGAGCCGCTAGGCTACG